GGAGGGAAGGAGGGAAGGAGGGAAGGAGGGAAGGAGGGAAGGAGGGAGGGAAGGAGGGAAGGAGGGAAGGCGGGAAGGAGGGAAGGAGGGAAGGAGGGAAGGAGGGAAGGACTGAAGGAGGGAAGGAGGGAATCAAGTGAGTCGAGGTAGACATTTGATGTCATATATTGTGCAGCAATTAGATGATCTAATGCATGTTTACATGCCACAGAATAGCTCCGAGGTTTAGGCACCAAATGGATCCAAATGGTATTCCCTCCTCTTTCAAGAGGTGTTCACAGTATTTGACCGTGTGCGCATCATGATCCGCATGGGAGTTCCTAAACTGGTTCATCTATTTTCATTTGCGTGAGGCCACCCGGAAGAAGAGCCTCACAGATTTTCAGGGCGTTCCCAAGCTCGTCAAGGCTTCGCCCGTTGGTCGCGCACCCCGGAAGGTCCTCTTCCACTGCTTAGCTTGTGGTGTTAGACTCTCAGATTCTCTATATCCTTCGAAGAGCTTGAACCAGTTGTCGGCGTTGGTCGGGTGGTGGGTGGACCTGCGAGAAGGAGGGCCGACTGTTTTGGAGTGGATTTGATGCCCCGTGAGCATGGGTCAGTCGTTTCTTGAAATTGGATCAACCTATTAATTAGGATCATCTCATGTCATGCATGTTCAAAAACCCACAGCTAGAAGTGCATCAAAACCTTGCAATGGAGCCTGAACATCCTGCTTCGATCTCACATCGATGCCTCCCACATCTGCGATTCGGAGAGAAGTACCGGGCAGGGACAGACGGCGGAGAAGGAAGCGGAACGGCCCAAGTTGCAGGACATGAAGGTGGAGTCGGGGAGGTTGCGACGGGGTTCCAAAACGCCAGCGGGGGGGCCGCGGACATGGAGGTTTTTTGCTCGGTGAGCAGTGAGCAGTGCAGATTTCTGGAGAATGTCATGTGTTTTGCCAACATCATGGAAACAGGGAAGGGCCGGGTGTTGGTAAAAAGCAGGACTTTTGCAGCGTGCCCTCAACTGGAACAAAAACACCCCTCAAAGAGGAAAGCTCTTAAGATGGCCGTGATGCTGGTCCGCCCTGTTTGGGGGCCTTCGCAGGGCCGGAGGAAGAGCGGCACGGGCATGGACTTGCAGCTTGCACGGAAGAAGAGCGTGCCTGCTGTGGAGTTGCAGCTGGTGAAGGCTGGACAGGATTTCCCCCAGTCACACGACGTTCCGTGGTCTGCTCCTGCGTTCACACGTGACGAGAAGCTCATTGTACGGATATGGTTGCGCAGAAGGTCCCAGGCAGGTTTACGACTTGACTAACTAACACAACAGAATGCGCAACCAACATGTTAGGGGACACCTGAGATCCACTTACAGCATGCTTCAGCTAGACTGCGGAAATCGTGTGCTTGCATGATTTGACATGTTTTCAATCCAACATTCAGGAAAGACTCTCAAAGTGCCGATCACGAAGAGAGCAAATTAGTAAGCTACAGTTATAGTAATCGAATCATTTGTTAGTAGCATCTATATCGTTGATGTAATTGGAGCTGTTGTGCCAATCATGATGGATTTGGGGTGCCACTGTCCCACTTTTGCTTGCTGTGCTTCGAGGCACCAACGGCCAGCTTCGACTTGAATTTCTTTAGCGAGGAGTTGTTCTCCATCGAAGACCCTGCGCCTGGGAGAACTCTTGTGCGGAATGGTGCTGGAAACTCGCATGTAACTGTTGGAAACTCGCATGCCCCCAAGTCAGAAAGCCAGACTGAAGGTCTAAATGGTGCAGTGGGGGCCGGTGGTCCATCATCCTTCCGGGTCCCACCCTTGCAACTTGCACGATGTAAATAGACGGTTTACATAACTGTATACCTGTATATATATAGATGTACACATTTAATTTGCATACTATAGAAATACTAGATGTGCTTGTGTATTAACTTGCAGCAATGCTTTTGCCGATTCTACTTGCAAAAGGCTTGGGATCCAACAAATCTGCCATACCATCCAAGTCTCCTGAGAACCCGTCCGACTCGGGAACTGCTTTGTCGTACAGGAGCGAAAGAGGGTGGATGATAGCACCTGAAATGCTATCGGCTCGGCTATGGGCTTTCCTCCACTCGGTAGGCTGCTGCCCCCATGCTGAGCTCCTCCTAGCCAGCCTTCCCCTGGTGTGTATGGGGGGCAAGAAGTGGCTGGTTGTGGAAGGACATATTAGTGTTCATTTGAGCGTGCCAGCGAAACATCCAATTTAATGGTCCCATGTCCCTCCTATGGTCCTACTGTCGTCCGAAGACTTCAGGACCGCTGCTCCTTGGTAGATCCAGGCTGCAAACCGACTCAGTGTCCTTTTTCTCGTGAATCCATCGGTCAGTCAGTCTGGGCGGTCCTAAGGCACATGTGGAAGAGGAGGATGAGTGTGTCTTGAAGTGCGGCATGGAGATGGCGAGGTTCCAAAGTGTTTGGAACCGCTTTGAGAATGCGTGGAGCCACAGAGTTGCCCCTTGTTCGATTCGGTCCACGTGGCGGACCCCCGCGGGACCTGTCCGATCTGTGCTAGGATTCCAGTGTGTGATGCCGAAAAGGTAGGTCCAAAGCCAGGAGCCCCTAGTATAGCGTCCTTGCTCCTAGTAGCAAGGCCAGGAACCCCTAGTAGCGTCCTTCCTCCTAGTAGCAAGGGAGATGAAGCTTTGTGTTTTTACTGGTGGCGCACCTCTTCACACAGCACTCGTCCATGGATGTTTTCTCAACCGGCTCCAGCATTTTGGATTCCAGGTTCCATCTCTCCCCAAACCGAACACGTGATTTGGAACTCACCATGGCACGTTCCCACCACGAAGGCATGATCAGCTCCAGGGCACCTTGTTTTCAAGCACTTTCTCCGCTTGAGGACAATGCCATCCATCATGATGTGGCTTGCAATGCCTTGGCGCGAATTGGCCCATTTGGCATGTCAAGCTCCACTCTTCCGAGATGAGCGATGTCCGATGGAGATTGACATCCTGACCAACGGGAAAGATACCATGTGTATTCATTATTCATGTGTACACATTGCATATGTATGTATGTATGTATATCTATATATATTGTATAAAGTTACACCAGCAATGATAATTATGTGTTCACCATATTATTTGTTATACGTAAATATCTACTTGACTTGTCTTGCCTTTGCTCGCACAAGACTGACAATTGAATCGTGTTGCGCGTATGCTGAGCACTTGTTTCCCATCATTTAGATGTAGCAAGTACTAGAAAGTGATATGGATGGGTGCAAGGCCAACTGCTTCCCTCCTACCCACCGAAAGTGCATGTGACAGCTTCCAAAGTCTTTCGCTTGTCACTCGGCACTTTTACATTTTTTTACCAATCTTTCTCCGTCTCGGGTTGGAGAACCCTTCTGAAAGCACGAGCCATCGATGGGTCCGTTGCGCCCGTTTGGCGATTCCTGGCCCACACTCAAATTTGGGTTTCAGTTGCGGTCTACATTTGTGGGGAATGAAAAGGTGACCCTCGTTCATGGAGGATGCTGTCCACGGTCTACTCGAAAGCGACCCCTTTCAAACTACTGATGCTATGATTCATACATGAACTATATTATATAATATATTCATTATGGTTTATGCCATGCAGTCACAGGTTGGACCTGAGTCTCCAAAGATTGCGTGGTGGAAACCACCCGCATCACACCACAGCCGAGTCAGTGAACATGTGCGAGGTGTTTTCGATCGCCAGGCTTTGTTGGTCCAGAAAAGCAATGGGTGGAGGACCACGGGATTGGTTTGAAGGGGAGTGATTTCAATGCAATGAAGGGTGCTTTTAGAGTGTCTTAGTAGAGCTTCCAAGACCCCAGAAGCTTGGTGCACCCTCCCAACGAAACTCAAACCGGGAAAAAAAACTGGCCATTCCTCTACAGAGGTTCAGCTCAGCTTCCGTGATTTGTCAGGGGTGAGTCCACCTGAGACCTTTCAGATGTGAATTGCTCCATAGCTCTAGGAACATTGATCAGGAAGTCGTTCTAGGAACATTGATAAGGACAGGAATCTATCATAGATAGTTCTGAAGTGATCTGAAGTGCATCAACCCCCCAACTACATCCAAACTAAGGACCCCGAGGGGTTGCTTCTTCAGAATCACATGTCCAGGGACAAAAGGGACCCAAGGCACCTGGCCTGGTTCTTCAGAAACTGGGACAGTGAAGTTCGCCGACTGTTGCGATCATGTTTTGCTAAGTGTTCCCACTTAGCATATAGGTGTTGGATTGGACGCGCAGCAGGATACATTGAATACATTCCACAACAAGTCTGAGTCTACATGTATTTTGAGTTTGTCCTCAGATCCAAGAGCTCGCCCCATCCAGCCGAAAGATCACAAAGACAAGCTGGAGCATCCAAATGTCCATCCTCACGGCTCAATGTTGCATGATGAGATGTTTCCAGGATCAACATGGATCAAATATGATGAAACACAGACCGACCCAGGCTTTTTCTGTTTCTCACGGGTCCAAAAACCCTTCAAACGTCGTTTGTCACTGGAAGAGACCCGCACGAAGCGGCCTCCCGCATGCGTGCTGCGTCCAGGAGATCTTTCGCCAGGTCACCGAGTTCAACAGCGTTCCTGGGCGAGAGACGAGGTCCGTGTCGTCTCCCCCGATGAGACACGGTCACAACCGAGGGGGTGGCGGGTGGCGTTTTTGTTCTCGAAAAAAGGATCTGTTTAAAGGTGCTTTGCTGGAGGGAACCCGGTAAGTGATGAGAAAACCGCTAGAAGCATAGTGTTTGGTGTCCTTGTCATCGATGGCAACTGGATTTGACTCAGATCAAGGGTCGAATCTCAATGAGGGATGTTCATGGACTGTCGACCATCCTTTAATTCATATTCATTCATGCTAATTCCATACCCCTTCAGAAAGAGAGCCTTCGTGTGCTCTAACGAGTTGCCTTCTTGGCGACTCAGGTCAGCCGGGAAGAGTTCATGCACATCGTGGACCTCTACGATGAACGGTCCGGAGCCCGTCAGACCGATCGGAGCCCGGTGTCCAACTGTCCAACTGGGTTGCGGTGGACCTCCTGAAGCACGACGTGGATGTTTGGCTGGCTGCCAGGATGCTTTTGGTATCGAAAAAGCATATCAAGGGTGCGCAAGCGCTAAACAGCGAAACAGACGTCGACACAAGTAGTGTCTTAGTGTTTCTGAACCACACGTGTAGAATCTTCTCACCCTGCAGGCATGTTGGATTTGTTTCAGAGTTGGTTGTTCATTTGGTTGTGCAATGTTCTGTAACAAGTTTGAAACGGGGTATCTTAATAGATCTTAATAAGATTCTTTTGATGAACCCACCCGCTCCAGGCAGCGGAATTCCTTCCACCAGAAGTTCCTTGACGTTGACGTCGATGGCTCCGGAGAGACGCTTGGTGAGTCGGGAGCAGTGTCTTGGTGAGTCGATGGTCCCAGTGGTTCTGGCAGATGTTTCGCTTCCGGATTGCTCGGAGGGTAGAGAATTCGCAACAAAAGCCCGAATTCTTTCAGACATAAGCAGGTAAGGCACTACCCCCAGCATTCTAAAATTTAGCTTGGAAGTTGCTGGACGGCTTCCCTGTGACCAAAAGCGGGCACATGTTGAGGGACCTGTTTTTATTTGCAAATCATGTTTATATGATTAATAGATATGTGTGCGACTGCGATGTTTTACTGAGTTGAGTTGCATGGCACAAACCCCAGTTTGGATGGTTCAGACAAATCCCAAAACATGTGTCCCTGGCTTGGTGCCACATGCTTTGAACACACTGCAATGACTTACATTGCTATCCTCGTTCTTTGCTGTTTCGTTACATTCCGTCAAACATAGCAACTCAGAAGATTGGAAGATGATGTGGGCTTCTGCCAACGTGACCCTGTGAGTATGCAGAAGCTAATGCAAGGGACACGGGGGTAGCCTCCCCGAAACTCGCATAGCCACCCCAATTAGTCTTCCAAAGCCTCCTGGGGCTATATGATTCTTTGGATGAGTATGATGAGTGTTGCAGTGCCCCAACTTTAGTTGTGTGCGCCTGGCTTTCGGATGGTGTTTTGCTTTCACAGGTGCACAATGTTGTATGTTGTGATCAACGTTTGGACATTGTTGTTTCGTCACCCGCGCAAGGCTGGGTGTGTTTCTTCCTTCAGAAGGACCTCTTGAGACAAAGTCGTCCTATAGAGCTTTGCGTCAAGTATAGTATAACCTGGACCTAGTGTAGCTAGGCCAGCTTGAATGTTCGCAGGTTGAGCGACCCAAGGTACCCCCTCCAAAAATAGGCCGCGGTTCGGAACCCAGCCACTGTTTCGTTGGCTCAAGTGTGAATACTTGGTGGCTGGCAAAGACCGTGCGGGTGCCACAAGGACCCCTCTTGCCAGTGCAGAGAAAGACACATCCCACCGGCACCCGCCGATCTCCGTTTCACCAGAGGTACCACCCGGGTACTTCGTTTCGAGTGGGGTGCCCGCGTTGGCTTTTCCAGAGCAGAAGGGAAGCGCCCCAAGTTGATTGAAACGAGGAAGAGTCCAACTCAAAATGGTCAACGAGGAAGAGCCCAAGTTGCTTTGCTGGCACCGCTGACGGTCTTTTCAGGAACCCTCTTCGGTCGCGCTGGCGCGGCCGGTGGGGTTAGGCCGACGTGGGTAGGCGCCATGCGGAATGGCAACAGCTCCGACTCCATCACGAGGCACTCCGCGGGGACGTTTTCGGAACCATTGGAGCTGGTGACATCCCGTGGAGCTGGCACCACATTGTACATCCCAGTCGACTGGCATTGTTGTTGTTGTTGTTGTTGTTGTTTATATAATCCTTTTAAGGCTTTTCCGCGACCTTCGGATGGGCTTAGGTTGGAGAGCGAGGAAAACATGTCATCCTCCCAGGGAGGGCCACTTATCGGAAGACATTTGCTGGTTTTTAGTGCCTGCTGGTTTTTGCTTAACTAATTTGCATCAGGACATCTTGCAGTAACGGACTTTGAGAAAGCATAGGTCCTCTAGATAGGTGTTATTTTTCATATAGAGTTATGTGATGTTATGTGATATATATATAACTGTACTGTAATATATATATATATACAGCCACATCCTCACCATAATATGGCATATGCCGATGTATATATATATATATATACAGTGGATATTATGCTATTTGTCAGAAGTCCTCATCATTTCCCTACCAATGCTCTCGACATCTCTCAAGAATTGATGTCAGCTGAAAGAAAGGGAGATAAGCCTCATGATTTTGGCTGTTCTTATTTTTAATCAGTGCCTCCTTCCCTTTGGTTGTTTCTTTTGTAGCCATCCCATCCCCCCAAAGTGTCGTCCTACACTTGTCCACCATGTCGCCAGGAACACCAGCCAAAATAGCGACCTGGGAAAGGCTCGCTCCTCGCCCACGGGCGCACCGGCAAGCCCGCGGCGGAAGCGCTTCCCGACTGGCACCTTGGGCACAAGGTGCACTCTTGGGGGCACAAGGTGCACTCTAATGTGACGTCAAACACACATCATTTTGAGCTCAAGAGATCAGCAGCTTCGCAAGGTGTTGGGCGTGTGATTGGTAGGAGATCTTGGCGCTCCGTGATTGGCTCCTGACGATTAAACAATATATATATATAATTCATATATGTATGTGCAGGATAGGTTTTATATTATATTAATGATATCAGAAGATATGAAAAGTACAAATTACATGAAAGATCAGGGCTTTAGTAGTGTACCCATTATTTGTGGGGGTGATTGTGAATCTTGTGTACAGCACCCAGTCCAACCAAGTGAACCCCAGACTGAAATCGGCCATCTATGATAGACGGCATAGCCTGCTCATTGCGTGGAGGCACTCTCATTGCTGGGAGTGATAGCTCTTCTAATTTGGGATTTGAAAATCATGGGGGAGGATGTAGCTCGCGCTTGGCTGAGTGGCCCAGGACAACAGCAACAGTTGGATGGTATGGCTGAGGATGAGGCAACTGTGGCGATCGGATTTTGGAGATTGGATCCAAGTGTCCACTTGAAATAATATATTGCACCAGGACAAGTTCTTGACAATCTCGTAGGTCACCGTGAAACTTGTTTCCGACGACGATTGCATTCTGCATTTTGTGACGGGGAGTTTGAAAGGTCTTTATCCACATCCTTGACTTGCTGGAGATGTGTCTTGGCATGTCTTGGCTAGTTTGTGTTGCACAGAAGTTGCACCCTCGAGTGACGGTGCGCGCAAGAGATAGGTTGTTTTCTGGTCCAGCTTGTGGTGTAGCGTAGCTCAGCCATGGTCGGTTTTGGCCCTCTCAGGCAGGATGAGTTTGAAGCCTCCACAGGATCAGATCGAGATTCTGAGGCTTGGAAGCGGGAGATCAGATGGAACCGCGGTTGGTTTCGTGCCGGAATTTTTCAAGCATTAGATTCGATGGGGACCGGCTTATGGTTTTTGGGTGATACGTGATGTTCACAAACATGGAGATACTTGGACCTTCCATGCACAGAAACGAGGTTCTGCAGATGAGAAGCGAAACAGACGATGGACGGGAGACTGGGCTTGGACTCTCCGCCATGGCCATGGAGCGATTCAGTGATGGAGACAGCTGAAGAATCCTCAGCATCCAACTGGCATTTTCCAAATGCTTGTGTACCCAGGTGGCTTCATTCCCTGTTGCACTCGTCATGTTTCTGTGTTTTTCCTGTTCTAGGTGGGGGACGATTTGTCCTCGGTGGCCTCAGATTTGGAAGATGAGGAGGAGGACAGGGAACAGCTGAGGAGGCTGGTCAACACTGGAAGCTGGTCACTCCCGACTCTATAATATGGGTGTGTATTGAACAGTTGCCCGCAAAGACCCAAATCAATTGGAAGTAGACTAAAGCTTAATTGCTGGGTGAAAGATAAGGCCTTTTGTGAAGGAAATTGAAATTGGTTCGGTCTTCGAACACCTACCTTAGCTATTTTTCACCCAAACAGCTAAAGGAGTGTGAGGTGTTGTGTTTGGAGGTTGGCTTTGTAGGCCCCTTGGAAGGTCTGAACTCTCGCTTCCCCGTTGGTTACGCCGACTCTTGTTCGAGCAGAGTGACCGTTTGGCCGAGATCCACGTGAGATGCAGGACTTTTGGTGCTCAACGGAAGGCCCTCCAACATCCAACACATCCGGTTGGGAGACCATTGGTGCCCCTCTCGATCCCAATGGGAACACCAACGCCACGGGTTCGTTGAAAGCGGTCTCGACCCATTCGTTGGGTCGCGTGACGGACGCGCCGGGACGCACCGGGACGCAGGACTGGGACCCTCGCGATGAGTCCTGCTGGAAGCTTTCGCCCATGGAAGTGAGCAAGGTGCAATGTACTGGGAGGAACGACTTGCAATGAAATGTCCTGGTGAAATGCTCACGACTTGCGGCTAGATTCGCGGCCCGATGCGGCCAGAGACATTGGACCAGTGATGGATGTTGGGCAGCTGGTGTTAGTCTGCACATCAAGACACTCAACAGACATCTCTTTTGACTCCCAGCCGAGTGGTCTCTGGACGCGGTCGGCGCCGCAGACCACCATCGACGCCAGGCGATCCAGGATCTCAGAGCCCGGCGTTTGCCAGCGATCGAGGTGCTGGAAGTGGAATTTCCAGTGCAGCCCTTGGGATCCCTTGGAATCCCTTGGGCGCAGAGAATTAGTGACTAGTGAGTGCCAAAAAATGACAAAACATGTTTGATCGTTTCATGACCTGAAAGTGGAAACCCATGGAAAATGGAAGCCCCAAAAAGTCTCCAGAGTTTCTAGACCCTGGTCCCCAAAAAGGGACAGTACTGTCTCGACCCTTCTAGACCCCGACTGCAGCGCATCTTGCAGATCCAGAGATCCCTCAGTGGTTGAGAGGGATGTGATGTTTGCCATTTCACCCCCCCGAAATTAATTTTAAAAAAGAAAACAGCTCGATTTTTCAAGAGCCATTTGTGCATGTTTAAAGGCAAGAACAGCAGACATGTGAAGCAAACTCGGGAACGCATTGCTGGACTCGCGATCTCGACTTTGGGTATGACCCTTGGGAGAAGACCCTTTGGCGCCAGGTGTGCAAGAAGATCGTCCGAAGCGTCCCTTGCCATGGAGGGTCTAGTGTGGGTCTAGTTGCACTTGGAGAAAGGTCAAAGATGCCCAATGATGTTGGAGTTGAACAATTTCAGGCCTGTCTTCTCAACTTTAAGTTTTACTGTATATAAGTTAATTCATTCTGAATCCTGCCCAGAGGGGACATTCTTTCATTCCCTTTGTCCCTTCCTGCGGGTTGTAGGTCATCTCAAAATCATAGCTTCTGGTTCGGCAGCAAGGCTGATCTAATACAATCCATAAAAAGAATTCGCGATTGTGCAACAGAACTGCAACATTTATCATAGCCCCCCTCTTCAAATCAATCCATGAATTAGGGTCCATGACCCCTTCATGAGCGTACCAAGTGCTATCCTCCCTTTTGCTTGTTCTTGTTTGTCTCATATGGTGGTCATCTTTACACCATGCACAAGCCCTCCGAGAAATACATGCCCTGCACCCGATCACTCGGCTCGATCACCCGGCTCGCCGCTGGTGCAATCCTTGGGTGAGGTGATTGTGCACTACTCCCATCAGCCGAACGTGATCCACATCCCAGCAGCTGGGCGCTATCAATGGCGCGGCGTACAGAATCAAGAAGAGCAAGGGGAACGTATTTGGATGTATTTTAGTATATTTTAGTCACTCACTGAAGTTATGTTTTAGTATATTTTAGTGTAATTTTAGTTACTCACTGCAATTGCTTGGTATGCACAATGTTATTTGTTATATATACCCGTTTTCCAAGAACCGTTCGTCAGAGAGTTTAAACTGATCTCAGATCAAGACCATTGTACTGAATACCTCCAACCGAAGTATGACACCAATACACACATCCACCGGATATTGGGTCCATTGAGCTAGGCAGGAGAACCAGCACCTGGATGACATCCCCAGCATTTGTGGCTATATGTGGTGACCTGAATTCGAGCAGAGGACCCAACGATAAGAACAGCAGCTGTGGTATACATTGGAAACAACAAGCTAGCTGTGGTATACCCGCATTGCTTTTAGATCTCAGATATGCACTGGTGCACCTAGCTTCATCAGATAATACTTTGGATGGACAATTGGGTCTCACCCAAACTCATACTGGACTTGTTTGGATCGACCCGAGGCTCCTGAAGTTGGATCGCGCTTCGTCGTGGTGGGCGTTCCTTGGTGCGGATGTTGGGTGCAGAGTCGATGTGGCACAGTGAAGACACACCGGACAGGGTGTTCAGATCAATCACCTTGACCTGGGTGATGTTTGGTGAAGTGTGTGTGTGTGTGTGTGATGTTCTGCATGCGATGCCGAGGGGGAGGTAGAATGGGCCCTACTGCGGAGTTAAGCAAAAGGGTTCTGTCCTTTGCAAACTTGGAAGTTTGTGTGGTGGATTAAGTAGGTGGGTTCCCACAGCAGAACTTTGGAAGTTGGTGAGACCTTTGGTCTTGGAAGCGTGTGGCAGGTTCGAGATTACCTAGTGGAAGGGGCAGACAGATAGAGATGTCTCGGGGACCCTTTTGGCGGAGCCAAGTTGCGAAATGACATCTCCACTGGGTTGGAGTTGGGGTTTGCACGAAGGAATGTTTGGAGGTCATTGGAACTTTTCTACTCCGCTTGCTGAGGGGTAGGCAATGGTGAAAAGATTGTTGCCATAATGTAATGTTTCGACGACGAGGAACTAAATTCGATCTGCAAGTCCCATGTTCCAGATGCATGTAATGTACAGTTTCTTGAAGTCCTTTGACCGTGAATGGCAAACAACGCGGAGTCGTGGTGGCCCGTGATCACGTCAGGATTTGCATGGACACTTCGGGGACCTGCGGCACTTGCTCGAAGACCATGGTGAGCCTTCCCCTGGACCCAAGGGAGCAGCCACTTGCACGCGTTTGGCCAACACGGAGGAGCCACGGGACCCAGTTGATCAAGTTGGGCCCCAAATGCAACAAAAGACCCGATCATTTGGTCCACTAGGGGTTGCTTTAGTGGTTTGGAATTTTCTGTTGCATGGCATAGTTTGGGTCTTTGATTTGATCGCATTTGCTAGCTACGGGAAGCCAGCTCACTTTGCACCGTGTTGACCATGGAGTCCCTAGCAGACCTAGCAGAATCAACTGATGATTTTGATTGATGAACTGCCCATGAGAGACGTCCCAAGTCCCAAGGCCCAACCCAACAGACCTGTATATAATACCCCTTGGAATAAACCCTATAGAATGGGGGAGGTCGAGCTCCAAAATGACCTAGCATTTTATAGAGATTTTCTATAGAATCAAAAGTCAACCTACCTGAAAAAGATCCATTCTGAGGATATCTGAGGTGAGAGAATCATATGTTGATGGATCACTAGGTTGAGCACCTTCATTCTATAGAGAATATATGAAAATTGATGGCATTTTATAGAGGATAGAGGTTTTGATTCTATAGAGAGAACCTGGAGCAGTAGAAGGTTGAGATGTTGATTTTAGCGTGGATGGATGTTTTACAGTCAGGTAGGTTGGATTCTCATTCTATAGAAAGCACTTGAATTTGTGGAGTCTTGAGTTTTGATTTTATAGTCTCAGAACCTTCGAAAAGTAGAAGGTTGAGAGTTTATTTTAGAGTGGATGGATGTTTTACAGTGAGGTAGGTTGGATTCTGATTCTATAGAAAGCACTTGAATTTGTGGAGTTTTGATTTTTGAGTTTTGAGTTTATAGTCTCAACCAAGCTCTTTTCAAGCCAGACGTGGTAAATTACCTTTCAGGTGGGGAAAGACCCTGAGGAACATTCTAGAAACCAATGCCACTTGGAGAACTTCTTCCTTGGAATTGACAGAGACTGTTCAATGTGGCTTCTGGTAGTGGCCACCTGTGCCAGGCCCACAGCACCCAGGCCACTATAAAATGAAAAACCAATCTTTTTTGGAGCCAGAGCTGGTCAAGCACCTTTCTGGTGGGGAAAGCCCCTGGGGAGCATTCTAGAACCCACTGCTACTTGGAGAACTTCTTCCTTGGAATTGAGAGAAACTGTTCAATGTGGCTTCTTGTGGTGGTCCACAGCACCCAGGACCACTATAACATGAAAAAACAAGCTCTTTTCAAGCCAGAGGTGGTAAAGTACCTTTCAGGTGGGGAAAGAATCTGGGGAACATTCTAGAAACCAATGCCACTTGGAGACCTCTGCCTTGGAATTGATGAAGCTATTCAAGGTGGCTTCTGGTAGTGGCCACCTGTGCCAGGCCCACAGCACCCAGGCCACTATAAAATGAAAAACCTACCTTTTTTGGAGCCAGAGCTGGTCAAGCACCATTCTGGTGGGGAAAGCCCGTGAGGAACATTCTAGAAACCACTGCCACTTGGAGATGCAGAGGTGGCCAAGTACCTTTTTGGTGGGGAATGCCCCTGGGGAACATTCTAGAAACCGCTGCCACTGGGAGAACTTCTTCCTTGGAATTGACAGAAACTGTTCAATGTGGCTTCTTGTGGTGTTCCACAGCACCCAGGACCACCATAAAACGAAAAA